CTCTCCGTCCAACTCTGTTTGCCCAAGGCTAACCACACTCTCTCCTTCTCAAGAACACATGGCTTATCTATTCTCTGTGTTTAACGCAGCCAAAGGTTTTTAAAGATAATGATAATCTCTTGATTGCAATTTTGAGTTGCAAAGAATTTGCTAGGTTTGTAGCACAGACGGTGGCACGAATGTTCTTCTAGTACTTTGTGGTCTGGAATCCCGGAGGATCGGGGATCTACAGGGAACACAAGCCTGTGAAAATAATTATAATATAGCATGGGGAGGTGGCTATTTTGCGGGGCGAGGAGGAGAGGCATCATATAATTTTTGCAGAAGAGGTGACAGTTGAGTCTTGCAGGATGGTGAAGTGTTTAACAACAGCCTAGACTCGAGGTGGTGGTGTCAGGGGATTCAGGCAGGGGTAACACCATGTGCAAAGGAAAGGAAGCATGAAAGAGCATGCCATTTTGAATGCGAATAGGCTAGCCCTTACCCACAGATGGGCAAGTTGACTCAGGTGATTTGACTGGCGGGGCAGGCGCTCCCCTTCCCCCACTCCCACGTTCTTTGTTCCACGTATGTCCTTCCTGAGCCTGCTTTCTTCTTAATTCTCAGGAAATTAATCGTATGCTGTCAAGACTAGAGATAAGCATCCTTTGCTGTCTAGCACGTACAGAACAAGACCTTAGGTATGGCTGAAGCATGGAATCTGTGCTTGAAGGCAGCCAGAAGTGGAGGAGAGGAAGGACTAGTGGTGAAATGACACTGGAAAGATCCTTACGTCCAGGTTACAGGGCAGGAAGAGGAGCTTGCTTAGCCTTGGGTTCTTTTTGCACCTTATGGTGCAGGTCTAAGGAGGAGGCGGAGTGCCAGGGTGACTGTGGGGATCTGAAGGAAGCATGCGGATGGCTCTGCTCATCCAGCAATGGCAGTGACTTCTAGGGACCAAATCAGCTGTCACCTTGATCTTGGACTTCCAGCCTCCAGAACTGTGAGAAATAAATGTTTGTTGTTTAAGCCACTCAGTCTATGGCACTTTGTTATGGCAGCCTAAACTGACTAAGAAAATAAGGAATCCAGAAAGAGTGGCAGGTATGGGGGAGACCATAAAACCCGGTTTCAAATCCACTGCACTTCCTAGGCAGAGAGGACCAGGAAGCAGTTAGATATATTGGTCTGATTCGGCTGTGATTCAATGTAGATGAAAGGGCAAAGAAAGAATAACTGAGAGCACTGGGAAGAGACTCTATTACGGGGACGTTCTTAATTCAGTTCAACAGATACTTTACAAAGTCCTGGTTAGGCACCATAGGACATGCAAAGAAGAATCATGCACAGCCTTCTCCCTTAAGGAGCCTACTTTGCTTGAACTATGGCCATGGACTCAGGTTCAATATGTAGGAAAAGTGTTATTGCTGAAGTAAGGTGTATTTATGTCTACAAGTTCAGGTCTGTTTTCCTGGCTTTCTCTGAGGTTTGACATATAAGTGTGTCACTCTTTTTTTCTTTACCTTTTTCTTTACTTATGACGGTTAAACCAAATTCTAGGATATGATAAACATGACAATTGATTTACCTATTCTTTATTTCTTATCCTGCTTTATGCTTAAACATAATATGGTTGACTTATAGCAGTCGAAAAAACAGACGGGTGGATCTTTACAGAAATCTCCAATCTTAGGAACTAAAGTGAAGAGAAAATGGAGGAAGGTTAATACCGTTTACTTCTTTTTTAAGATGAAAATTCCTTTTTGAAAGATATTTTCCTATATGTTAGCCAACTATTTTTAGGTAAATATATGCACACAGACACACACACACACACGCACACGCACACACAGCTACCGTCTCTTAATTGACTGCTAAAGCTTATGAAAGAAGTAGTAAATATTTAAGAAAATGCTTAAAATATTTAAGAAAATACTTTAAAAATTTAAGAAAATATTTAAGTAAATATTTAAGAAACTTTGTGAAATACATGAATTTTCATGAAGTACTAAAGGACCACAATACTTTCCTTTGGAAATTAAACTTGGAATAAAAGATAAAATTTTAAAATTTGAATTTAATATGCATGCTAAAAGTGCTGATATGCATTTTATATCATAAAGAATTGAGAAACAGTAATTTAAAACACATAATGGTGTCTTGTTCCACCAGGAATTTGCGCATTTTGCCAATACTTATGTAATCTAGGAAATTCCTTTCTAAGATATGAGATTTCTTGTTGGAAAAAATTTCAAATATAAATGGATTCACACGGAAAATTTGTCTTGGGTCTTTTTATTTAACTTTCTAAGTTCAATTCTTCTTTAGCCACATTTTAGCCAGTGGAATACAGGTAACACATTTTGTTCTTTTTTCCCCCAGAAACTGATGTTTATTCTTTTATGGACTGAAAGGGATTTTTCAAATTAACTTCAATTTTTACCACCCTCTTTTCATATCCCGTGTATGAATTTACTGTGGAGACTTATGAATGATGGAACTAACTTCAGGAACCTTCCTACCGAATTGCTTTGCTTGGGTGAGTATAGAAAACCTGAGCAAAGTGGCTCAGACCTGAGTTTTAGCACTTAGGCAAAACTTTTTAGAACAAGCCAGGATATGAATCAGCATGAAGAAGGCACTTGAATGCCAAACATACGTTTAAAATTCGTTGAAAATTTGAAAGCATTTTCAATTAATTATATATGACTGCAGTTCATCTCTCTTGAAAAAAATTAGTTCCCTTTTGTAAGAGTTTTATCTTTTAAGTATCGATTGTATCAATGCTCAAGGTAGAACCGTAAGTAAAATTACAATCCTAAAACCTTTTGGGCAATGGTTCCAATTAATATAATTAATATTTTAGCAAAATGTCATGGGTTGTAATTGAAAGAAATCATCTGGGTCTGAAGAATACCTACTGAGGGCAGCCCTATTACGATTAATTCTGAGGTAGGTAAATTAATTTCCTGGACTTGCAATTCAGTGAAGGGAAGCTTTTCCTTCCTCATAAGCCTGGAGGGTTTGGTATTTGGCCCTGTTGAGACCCAAGGGCTATCTGGGCTGATTAACATATATATAATTAAAGTGTGCCAGCTAGAAAGGCAGAGCCAGTTTTAGTTGGCTGTGTACAATTGTGAAATAATTTCTTTCTGTCTACATTATTTACCTTTGTGTGTGTGTGTGTGTGTTGGGGGGGTGGGTTTAGTTTCCCTGGACATCATCCTGCTACTGCTTTAGGATTATTGCTTCCTACCCTAGCAGACACCAAAGAACAGACAAGCTTTCTTTAGCATTTAAACCAGATTTTCTTTCCGTTTATATCACCATTTTTAAGCCACATTTTTCATCACATGCTAAGAAACATTGTAAATAATTGAGGTGATCCATCAAGAGACCCATTCGTGATAATGAAAAATTGCATAACTCAGTCGAAGTCAATTAAAAACCACAAACTTCAGAACCCTTTGCTCAGTGAAGATTTATTGTTATAGAAGGCATTTAATACAACAGATTTGGGGGGTCAAAATTTTTAAAAGTTCTAAAAATTCAGTTAAAGCTTGACAATAAAGTAGAGTAAGATTTATATAATATCAAAGTATATTAGCTCTTTGAAATGAAAGCGGTTTTTTTTTTCTTCCTTTAACATGAGATGTCTGAGATGTTCAGGATTTTATAACCATGTTAGAAACAACATCCCACTATAGGATACTCTTTTTTCCTTTGAAGGTTCTAAATGCTTCTTACTCTTTGGTTGTGCCTATACAATGAAAAGTAGACAAATTAAATGAGAGAAGTCAGGTTATTTTCCTCTGTTAAACCAAATATCTGAATAATTAGAACTATAAATGACTCAAATGTTTTTATCATTTTTATCAATCAATTTATGTTTTTATCAATCAAATGGTTGCTTGGTTAGGATACAGCCAACATTTAACAGAATGTAATATTTTTATACAACTGCATATAATTTTTAAAAAATAAATGACTTTTTTTCTTTAGAGACATCCAATGCTATGCAAGTGGCCAGGGAAAAAATGCCAGCTCTCTAAAATGCAATATCTATAACACTTTTCTTCCCTTTTAGTGGTTTTTCATGCCCAAAATATAAAATTAAGGAGCAACACCTATCGTCAAAAACCAAAAATATTCATCCATTTATTTTGAGGTTTGTAATGTCTCTGCATAAGTTTAAACTGAGCCTAAAAGCTTAGGTGGGGTCCAGCAGTCAGCCCTGACAGATGTCTAACTCCAACCAATAGCGCACATGTGACTTGCTTCCTACTGAAATTAAACTGCTAAATAAAAAGGAGGAATTGTCCCCTTTTTTAATAACAAAAAATGCAATCGTTAGAATTCTTCAGATTTGGAATTCCAGCAGTGTTCTTGTGTTTTCTTCTTGATGTGTGACAAGAATGAATAATATCAAAAATAAAAATAAACCTCATCGAAACAAGGAGTCCTTTGACTTTATAAGGCTCAACATCAAATGCATCAAATTCTAAAAATACCTAAGACCAGTGAAATGTCAAAGCTGAGGGGATGACATGCTGGGGATAGGACAGATTTTTAAAACTTTTCAATTTATTTGAGCCTACTAGCATTAACTTTGTTCATTTCTGTTGAGATATTGCAACTTCAATTGACTACTAGGGACCATGATATTTCATATTCATATAAATATTTGATTTTGACCTCATAAAAAGTCCCTTGGGTCTATAATACTTTTATTCTTGTATAATCTGAAACAAATCCTTTCCTTTTAAAAATCAAACAGACCACGTTACACACACAGTTGACTAACTATTTACAAAGCACCCAATTAAATCCTACTTAATTCTCTCTCACTCTAAAAATTCCATCTAACTGGTGTGTAAAGTACTGATCACATTAAATGCCTAATATTCACAAGCCCTGATAGTCCTATCTAACCTAGAAAATATTACCTTCCTTAAAGAGAAAAGAAAGTCTTAAAAAAATAAGTACAAGGTTTTGAAGAAATGAGACCAGAAATCACAGTGCAAGACAGATAAATCTACTTTAATATTCACATGTAAAAGTTACACATCACAAGAGACTGGACAGTAGTTTAGCAGTTAACTAACATAGCTATAGTGAAAATCATTTTTATAAAAAAATAATCTAGATGCGGTCATCAGAATTTTTGGTCTACTTAAGTTAATGTTTGAAGATCAACTTTTATCCCTGCTTGAAGGATTTGCCATTATGCCTTTTTAATTTTTTTCTCCCACTGTTGCCTATTAATATTCTTTGGAGGAAGGAAAGCAGAAAGTGTTCATTTCCAAGAGTCAGTCCTTTGGTAGCAAGCAGAGAACATTTTTCATTTCTATGATTTAAATAATCTGTACAGACATGAAACTCAGTGACATTAAGCATTAGTGTAAAATGAAGAATGATAAGCATCTTTTTTTTCACTTTGATAAAACAGATTTCATGAACTCTTTAAGGATCCAAGCATTTCCCCAACCCATATGCAAAATCGTTCAGAATCCATTTTGACCTCAGTTAAGAAACGAGAAACACTTACTCTTTATATATTACATTATCAAACCCTGTACTTGAAAACTGATAAAGTATATTTTCAACACATATGCTTCAAATACAAAGATTTCAATCTAGGTTAAAGAAAACACATTTGGATGGACTCAGAACAAGTTTATTTTGTGATTAAACATCTCATGCAGTCATGCAGGACCACTAGCTATAACTGTTACTTCCGAGTCTACAGACACTGAGCAAAACAAAAACAAATTAGAAGCCAGGTCAAACAGAACAGACATTCAAGATATCAAGAGCTCTGCCATTGAGCTGAAAAATAATTTTCCAAAAGAAATATTCCCATAGATTAAAAAAAACACACACATAATATTTACAAAAAATATTTAATTAAAAATATCTTATAATTACAGTAGTCTATTAAAGCGTATACTTTCTCACACTTATAGGACATCTCTATATATACATGGTATGAAATGTCACTCAGTTATCTATACAATATGTAACATTCTTGCAGGGAAAAGAAAGTTCCCTGCCCCATTATAATCATCTATTTTAAACAATAGATGTCAAAAAAAATATCTACAATGCTCTGGTATATTAGTAAAGCTTCAAAACAAAAATTGAGCTCCTTGGTCACAAAGTAGGCTTCTAAAGTCGGATTTACTCTTGATCTTCTATTTATCAGTCCTGTCACACTTAAGCTTAAAAGTTTAACTGCACCTCCGAAAAACACAGAAATGTACAATTCACAGCGGTAATAAATGAAGAGACAAAAGAGAATACGTATGTAGAATGTTTATGAACGTGCCAAAAAAAAAAAAGGATAAAAGTTTTATTTTTCTTTCCTCTCTCTCTCTTGGAATGACGAATGAAACGTTTCTAGGATAGGATTTGCTGATGTTTTTTCCTTTCCTCCGGTGGCTCTCTCTCTAACTTCTGCTCATCCCCCTCCCTCTCTAGTGCTCCTGGCTCGGGCTCAGGCGGCCGCACACCTGTGGAAGAGGAATGAATAGAGGGGGTGTGTGAACCTTCCCGCTGCAGACTAACTGGCGCCACCGACCAATCTCAAGACATGCTTGATCAACAACCCAAAACAAACCACCACGTCGGACAACACCCGCAGCCCGCGGCCCGGCCAGGCGCCGAGCAGGCAGCTGCGGGCCCCGGGGAAGCCTGGAGAGGGGACCCACTCCCAGGCCCTGTCTGTGTCCCCCTCCGTGGGTGTCAGACTGCGCGGGGGACATCGGGCAGTTTCCACGCCCACGACGGTGCCCTCCCTCGGCGGGGAGGAGAGCAGGAAGAGCCTGCGGTCACTGGGGGAGGAATGGGGGCGGCGGGGACGTAAGCTGATCCATTTCCATTTAGAGTGAACCCGAAGTTACTAAAGCGAAGTACGGGTTCGCTTGCTAACTGGGTGGCACGAAGAGAGACAGGCCTCCTTGGGAGTTTGCTCTCAGAAATTCTGGGGGCAAAGAACACCACAGTGTCTGGCACCGGAAGGCCCCGGGCACAGGCGTCCCTGGTGACCGGCCACTCGAGAAGGGAGACGCGCGCTCACCTGGACAGCGCGGCTCAGCGGCACAGAATGCTGTCGCCCTGCTTGTTCACAGCGCCGGCCTGGAACAGCAACGGAACACCAAGGGAAAGGTTAGCAGGCGCAAACGTCGCACTCTTCACGGTCCAGGATTCGCTCTCGGAAACCAGGCTGGAGCCCGACGCCCCCTCCCCAGCCTGCAGCTCTGGGGGACCCCTACCCCAACCCCGGGCACAGCTTGGACTTGACAGCCCAGGATGCGCACAGTCCCAGTCCCGCCCCGCGCATTCACCGGGACCAGCGCTCGCTGCGCGGAGCCAGCCGCTGACGGCCCCGGGCGCCCAGAGGAGAAAGAGGGAGGCACTGTCATTCTCGGTAGCCTTTGCCCTGAAGAAGGGGAGCGCCCGCGTCCCACCACCCCGCCACCGCCCTCCTGCACCCCGGCGGCGACCGCCCTGGGCCGGCGCTCGGTCTCTCACCGGGTCAGTGTTGAGCGCCGTGAGCGGGGTTCGCGGTGGCGCGGACGGACAGGTCCCGGCCGGGTGGTGCGGTGGCGCCGGTGGTGGCGGCTGCCTCAGCAGAGCGGGGTGCGTCTCCAGCGCCAGCTGCAGGTCCAGGATGTAGTCGATAACGTGCTGCAGGATCTCCACTTTGCTGACTTTCTTGTTGGGCGGGATGGTGGGCACCAGCCTCCGCAGGCGGCTGTAACAGTCGTTCATATCGCACTGCAGGCACAGCGCCGGCTCATCGGCCGCCGCCTCGGCCGCCTTGCAGCGCGCTGCCGCCGCCGCG